CACCCCGAAGGCCGAAACCCGAAAGCCAAATGCCCAGAAACACCCCGAGGCCTTACCTCAAACTGAGACCCAGAGACTATGAATCATGCAGGTTTCTCTTTGTGGGGTTTAGGGTACTTAGGGCATGTAGGGTATTTCGGCTATTTGGGGTATTTAGGGTATTTAGGGTATTTCGGGTATTTCGGGTTTAGGGTTTCGGGTTTAGGGGCTAGGGTTTAGGGTTTAGGGTTTAGGGTTTAGGGTTTAGGGTTTCGGGTTTAGGGTTGATTACACCATCCCCCCAGTACCAAGCCCAGCTCGCAAGCCACGCAGGCCATCTCCAGCGAAAACTAGCCTCAGCTGCTCAGGGAGCCCGCGGCTTAGTCGGGTTTAGGGTTTAGGGTTTAGGGTTTAGGGTTTAGGGTTTAGGGTTTAGGGTTTAGGGTTTAGGGTTTAGGGTTTAGGGAGTTCCGCTCTCCGATTTTTTCTGAGGGTTGCGCTTCTGGGGCAGCACATTTTCCTCCACCCGTAGGCTCGAACAAAATAAACAAAGAAGTCAGAAAGACCTTAGAGGAAGAGTCCTTGGAGCCTTAGGTTGTGGTTCAGGGTTTAGGAGGCCTGGGGTGGGGTGGGGGGGGGGGGTTGGTGAATCTACCATTTTCCCTTATTGAATTATCACGTGTTTCAGAGGATCAGTAGTAGCCAACACCGAAGCTTCCGTCAGGTCCTGCTGACAGCACCCTACATGCCCTGAAGCAGCTAGGGTTTAGGGTTTAGGGTTCAGGGTTTTGGGTTTAAGGTTTTGGGTTTAGTGGTTAGGATTTAGGAATTAGGGCTAATGAAGGTCCTGTGGCTAAGCAAAGCCGTGCAAAGTCCGGACACCATACCGGTCGTAAACTCTAAAGCCTAAACCAGGTCAGCTCACGCTTTCTCGTGAACCCTCCGGTTACTCATGAGTTTGATTGCTTGGGTTCTGGGTGGGGGGAACAGTTGCGTAACTGGTTCTTGCTTTACTTGGGTACTCACGACCCAGCGAAGGTCCGCAAAAAGGAGTCTTAGAAATCAGAGCTACCCCTGCCCCCAACTCACAAGACTCCGAACGCAAGGGTTTACAGGGCTGTTTAGGGTTTAGGGGAGAAGGGGCAAACGCCAGTGTTTTGTGACACCCCTCTCAGTCCTCCTTTCCAGCCCATGTGGTCCATGAGTTTTGACGCATAAACCAAACCACCGAACCCTAAACCCTAAAACCCCAAACCCCAAACCCGAAAACCCCGAAATTTAAGAGCCTCCGGCTCAAGCCGCCGACCCCGCTGGAGCATAGTTGAAAGGTTTAAACGCGTTCGAGGTCACAGGATGACAAAGTTGGTGGGGGGGGGGTAGGGGGTAGGGGGGGGGGGGTGGGGGGGAGGTAGGGGGGGGGGGGTAGGGGGGGGGGGGGTCGGTAGGGGGGGGAGAGGGGGTGCTATGGTCCGTGAGTTTATGCTGTGTGGGTGGTCTGGCCCTCTATGGAAAGCTGCCCGGGGACCCCCCCCTCCCCCCCCCCGCCCCCCCGCGTTTTGGGGGGGTAAGGAGGGAAAGAGGACCTCCTTTTCCCATCCAACACGCCGCCAGGGTCGGCGGACCCCTAAACCCCTAAACTCTGAAACCCCGAAACCCCTAATTAAACTCTAAACGCTAAACACTAAAACCCTAAACCCTAACCCCCTAAGCCCCGAAACCTAAACCCCTAATCAACCCCCAAAGCCGGCACCTTCCCAGGAACAGTCGAGGAGCCTGGTTTTTCCCAGCAGCCCGTCTCAACCGGGAGAGCCCTGACAGAAGGTCGCTGAACTCTGAAACCCGAAGCCCCTCACCTGCCAAACCTTCTAAGTTCTAAGTTAGCGTTATAGGGTTTAGCTTTGGAGGGTTCAGGGTTCAGGGTTCTAAGTCCTAAGTAAAAAGTTACTGACCCCACACCCTGAGCCTTACACATTTCGGCTATCGAGGAAGCCAGTACATGTCGGCGAATGTTGTACGACCACGTTTTCCCTGCTCATCCGAACCCCTGCAATGGGATCAGCTGCTGAAATCATGGCTTTGGGTTTAGGGTCCGTCCCCAATTCCCGGAAATACCCTGGACCTTGCGCGCTATTTTTCGGACCTTGCCCGCAAAGTCATCAACATCTATATGGAATATAATAGAGTTTAGGGTTTAGGGTTTAGGGTTTAGGGTTTAGGGTTTAGGGTTTAGGGTTTAGGGTTTAGGGTTTAGGGTGTATAAACCCAACTCCGCTCTCCTGGAGCCGCAGACGTAGGGGGCCTCGGAGACCTCCAGTTCCGGTTTGAACCGCCGAGAAGGGACAAGCAGGCCCCTATAGGGCCCCTAGGGCCCTAGGGCCAAAGGATGGGCGTTATACACGTTTAGGGTTTAGGGTTTAGGGTTTAGGGTTTCGGGTTTCGGGTTTCGGGTTTCGGGTTTCGGGTTGGGTGTTTTTCGAGGAGAAAAGCCCAGTGCATGGTAGCGGAATGTTTGGTATATCCGCACCGACTTAGCAAAGGAGACGGTGCTTAAAGCTCTACCCCCTTATAAACCCTAAACCCTAAAACCCCCCTAAACCCTAAACCCTAAACCCCACTAGGTTTAGGTTTCACAGGGTTTTCTTAGGGTTTGTGGGGCTTCCATGGCATGGGCCGTGCCAGACTTTGGGCTGCAGGGCTTGTAGGGTTCAGGGTGGGGTTTCGGGAGGTCTCAGGGTGCAAGATCGGGTTTGGGGTTTAGGGTTTAGGGTTTATGGTTTAGGGTTTAGGGGTTTTAGGGTTTTTAGGGTTTCAGGGCTTTAGGGTTTTTAGGGTTTTTAGGGTTTTTAGGGTTTTTAGGGTTTTTAGGGTTTTTAGGGTTTTTAGGGTTTTTAGGGTTTTTAGGGTTTTGCTTATAGCCTTCTTTGGCATACTTAATCCTGCTTCTAACTACCGTAAACCCTAAACCCGAACTCGCTGGTTTTTCATTTGCCTGCTGTCTCCTGGCGGAAAATTGCATGGCGCGTTAGAGGGGCATCTGGCGTGCAAATTCGCGATCGTGGGACGACCTGCGGCATTTTTCAAGGGGGAGTTTGTGACTAGAGCTAGAGTTTGGGTATCCAGGTTTATTGTCCAGGGTTTAGGTGGATTCATACTAGGCATTTAGGGTTTAGGGTTTAGGTTTTAGGGCTTGATGTTTGGGATTCGCCTCTTGCCATCAGAAGTCCCATGAGTGGTCGCCGAACGCAGGAGTGTGAAAGACTCTTGTACCACTAGCTGCGTCACTGTCCGGGCTCACTAAACCCGAACTCCGAGTTGGGGAGGTCCATCCACCCTTTTCAGGTGCCCTAAGCCCTAAACCCTAAACCCTAAACCCCTACACCCCTACACTCCTACACCCCTAAACCCTGTTCTGGTTTGGAGTTCAGTCCCTTGGCCATTGGATAAGAGTGCCAGAACTCAGCAGTCCCGAGAAGCAGAGAAGCTGGATTGGGAGGGGCCCATGTGAAATTGGCTTTGGTGGAGGGTTTCGGGTTTATAATAATGGGGTTTATATGTTTTTTGAGGGTTTATAGGGTTTAGGGGGTTTATGGTGTTTATAAGGTTTGTACGGTTTATCAGGTTTTGCAGGTATAATATACTCTTTATAAGTTTTCGGGTTTAGGGTTTAGGGTTTGGGGCACGACAGTGGCACCGAAGACGCAGGTTTCACCCGCAGACGCAAGCATCTGGCGCAGGACGAGCTGGAAGAACCGTAGTACCCAGCGACCCAATCAAAAACGAATATTCCCCTTAGGGTTTAGGGTTTAGGGTGTGGGGTTTAGGGCTTAGGGCTTAGGGCTTAGGGCTTAGGGCTTAGGGCTTAGGGTTTAGGGTTTGGGGCTTAGGGCTTAGGGCTTAGGGCTTAGGGCTTAGGGCTTAGGGTTCAGAAGCCCTTTGACGGAGAACCCAATCAAAACGAGGATGCTGCACTGCTAAGGGGGTCCTGTCCGAACTGCTGTTTTTCAGTGCCAGGTAGCGGCTATACTAGCACCCTAGAGCCTCCAAGCCATACCCGAATACTCTACACCCCAAAGCCCCTGGCAGCAAAATAAGCCAGTGCACACACTGACCTTGTCACCTGCCTAGGGCTAAACGCGCCCTTAAACGTGAAACCCACACCCGCTAAACCCTAAACCTAAACCCTAAATCCTAACCTCTAAACCCTAAAAAGCCCTAAACCCTAAACCCTAGGCCTCTCAAACCGATCCTGGGGCAAGACTTGCGCTTGCGCCCAGCTTCCATATTGCCACGAAGAGCCCAGCACTTCTGATTCCATACCCCTCTGAATCAGGGGGCCTTTTAGGATGCTTGGAGGTTCAGGGTACTTAGTAACCCATCATAAGTGTAGCTATAACCCACATATAATACAATTATACTTGGGTTTTAAGTGCAGCTATATTTGGGTTATACTAAGTACTATAAACCTCCAAGCAGAGGGTCTACAGGGTTCGGGGTCAACTGAAACTGCGCAGGGTTCGCGTCCCCAAAAGTGCTAGTTGGGTCTGGGTTGAGTTGTCCTCAGAAACCGAAAAATATGTTTCGCAGGGTTAGGTGCGAGGTGACCGGAGAAGGCGGGGACAACGGGTTTTGGTCCAAAGTTTCACGCTTTAAGGGGTCCAGGTTTTGGGTGCACGTCTGGGAGAGTTTGTCTTTTGACTCGAGAAGTCGACAGGCTTCGAACGGGTTTGTGCGACAGCTGCGACACTCTCAACTCTGAATCCCACAAGAGTTTGTAAGGATAAGTTATACTACCGTAGAATTTGAGAGTTTAAGGATAAGTTATACTACCGTGGAATTCTGCTATGATTCAGGGAGCATACCTTAAAGGAGCATCCTAGAACCGCGCCATCATGGATCCCATGCTGATTTAAGGGGTATTCTTTGGAATATCTCTGAAGTTATATCACGATGATTCCTACCAGGAGTTAGGCAATATTGCTTGACTCAGGGGGTTTGGGAAGTTCTGGGAAGACCACGCGGATATGCGGCTTCTGCCTGTTGACAGAAAAATTGAGGCAGGGAGGGGGACGAGGTTGCTTCGGGGAATCTCGATTTCACCCTTGGGGTGTAGGCTCATGGGCTTATAAAACACTAAGCCCCTGACACCGGCGCTCTAAAAGTCTCCTTTCAGGCTTCCCAGCTTAGAACCTTAACCCCAAACCCTGCATGCCGAAACCCGAAACGCCAGACACCTTTATACCTCGTAAACACCAAAGCCCTACAGCAACCGACAGCCCTAAACCCCTCAGCCCTCGGGAATGATGAAATCTGCAAGGTTGGGGAGTCAGGGGTAAGGGGGCATCTAGAGGGGTCTCGGGGTTGCATGCGAAGAAGCTTCTGCGTTTCATGGTGTCCCGAGTTGACGGTTTAGAGTTTATAAGTTTAGGGATGTAGGGTAACCCTTGATAAAAGCCTCCGTGAAGAAATGCAACTAGGGAGATGTGTCTGGCCTGAACCCGAAAGAGTAAGATGTCCGTCGCTGCTTGCAAAGGGGCTCCGATGTTCGTGCTTTTCCTGCCAGCTCCTGCAAAGCAGAGCTGGATATGCACCGTTGGGCCTTGCCATGCCTTTGCGCCTTCTGCGCCCTGGCGTCCCAGGAGGCACGTCTTTCACAAAGCAAATTAAAAGCCCTCGAGCAAAATATACACTAGGGCTTAGGGTTTAGGGTTTAGGCTTCTGCTCCACGCAATTCCCATGAGCTAGGACACACCTGCTTTGTGTTGTATGCGCTCAGTGTTGTTTCTTGCCATGTCTTGCAACCCATGAGGACCAGCTGGTATTGGCCGTGCAGAATGCAGATGTCAATGAAGTGGAACGACTCGTCAGCTCCGGGCAAGTCGATGTGAGTGCAATCACAGTAGAAAGGGGATCTTATAGGTGGCCGTGGCCTTTGGCGACATATTCTGCAACCATTCTTCATCATGCTGTATGGCGAAACAACATGGAGGTTTTGAGGCTGCTGGTCCAGGCTTGGCCCGACGGCCTCCAAGCGAAAGATGGCAGCATCGAAGGACGCACGCCGTTGCAGTGGGCCGCTTACCAAGGTCGTGTGGAAGCTCTCCAGTTGATGCTTGCGCGATGGCTCGAAGGAATCCGAAGTACAACAAATTCAGTGTTCCATTCTCATTCTGGGACCACTCTCTTCCACGTGGCTGCTGGTGTTGACCAGGTGCAAGTCTTGCAGCTTCTCGTGGAAAGGTGGCCCGGGGGCGTGCAAGTCGCCGACAACCGAGGCGAGGTGCCCTTACATATTGCAGCCGAGGACGTGAACCGAAACAAGTCTTTCCAGCTCTTGAGGAATGCATGGCCCGGAGGCCTCCTTCATGAAGATAGTGCAGGCCGTACGCCTGTGCATCTTTTTGCGCGGCATGCAGAAAACAGTTTCGAAGACTTGCTGTTTGTCCTCGACGGAATGCCCCAGGGCCCACGCCCGCGAGCATTGGAGCGTGGAGGCAGCATCTTGCATCAGGTTGCAGAGAGTGGCAATATCGCGGCCATGCAACTTCTGCTGGACAGGTGGCCTGACGCCATCTTCACCCGGCCGAGTCTTTTAGAAGCAGCTGCCTCATTCGGCCAGACGGAGATGGTGAATTTCTTGGGGCGTTTGTTTACGCCGGAAATGTTCACCTACCAGTACGAAACTAGCGTGAGGGACGACAATGTGTTTGGCTGCACCATCGTGGTTGACATGGGCTGTAATGGCACTGCCTTTTCCCAAGGTTGGAAGAACGCGGCCGTAGAGCTCCAGTGCACATCAAACTCGCTGTCCAAACTCTCGCTGCGGTCGCTGCAGCTTTGGTTGGAGTGTGGTGGACGAGTTGGTTGGCGAGACGCAGCTGGCACGCAGCTGCAGGCAATTTTGGATAATGAAGACGCTCGTCACTTCTTGCAATCACGCTGGACGCCTGCAGTCTTGGTTGCAAGCACAATGAGAGATTGGCGCACGTGGATGGTGCCTGGCCTGACAGCCGCCGTGGCATTTGCGGCGTTGACCCTACAAAGTAAGTTCAAGTCCTTCCGTCGTCCGGCCAGACCAGTGCAGTTTGAAGATTCCGCTCGTGACGAGTATTTCGAAGGCGCAAAGCGGTTGGTGAGCCAAACCTTTACCAGACATGGGATCCTTCTGAGGCTGTGGCGGTGGCTAGAGGTCTACGTTGCCATTGTTTGGTTGGGCTACTTGTGCATCCCATTTCACTGGTCATGGTGGTTGCCGGTTGTGGCTTTATCATATCTCGGCCCTCACATGCTGTTACACGGAAGAAGAGGTGTGCTCCACGCTCCAGCATTGGCAATTTTCAGTAGAGGTCTTGAAAGCCACCTCGTCGCCCTCCTCCGCACTACGGCTATGCCTTTCTTGTCTATAGTGTTCATAGTGGCTTACCAAGATCGTAGCAGCTTGGTCAACCCTATGATGAGAAGACTTTGGCTGAAAACGGACCGCGTTTGGTTTAACAGCTTCCTAAACGAGCATTGGCTGTTTCATTGGGCGCCGCCGGTGCGGGCCTTGTTGCTTGTCTACTTATGGGCCTGCGTCACCTTGGGCCTCTTGTGTCTCTACTTCCTGTGCCTGCTTTGCGCAGGTTGCAGGAAAGTCGCGTGCGGACGTGGCGAGCAAGCGCAAAGCTCTGGCAGCCAGGACCGCGAGAAGGGCCAGTTCTTGCGGGTTTTGCTTCGCACACCCTCAAAGGAGTTCAGCACATTGAGCCCAAGCGTAAAGCCCGTGGCTGCATTCGCCTGGCCGTGGCAAGGTGGTGGGCTATGGTTCGAAGTAGCGATGCTGGTGCTGGACGTGGCGCTGGACGTGAACACCATCTACACCTTCCTTGCAGCGCAGGATTACTTATTTGCAGCTGTTATGACCTTCGTGGTGTCATGGAGCGGCATGAAACAGCTCATCGCACTACCGCCATGGCGGCTCCGGCAGGCACCCTGCCTCAGACAAGACACGAGTAAATAGCATCAACAGACAGCCATAGCCATAGCCCCATAGCTTCAAAGTAAGTTGGCCCAAAATCTCTTCGTCGTCATATCTAACGCACGGCTGCGGCCAGTGCGCGATAGACGGTTGTTTGCAGAGGCACCTTCTCTACGTTGCTGCTAAGATTCATGTTGATATCGGCACATATTCACTGCGACCCGCTTCCCTGAATTCCCACAGCTTCCCTTCCCGCCAGGCCGTCAGGGCCAGCGCAGAGCGTGGCATCAAACATCAGGATTTGTTGGACTACTTGGAGGACACTGGGCATGTCTAGGCTCATGGCATGCTCCAATGGTGGTTTCTATAGAGATTCGGGTCCACCCTGTCTGGGGGGTAACAGGTGTTCAAGGGCACCAGAAGCTTTTGGAATCAATCATGAGTTCATGGGGTGCCGCGATCGCTCGTCGAGCCAAGGAAGAGAAGCGGTCCGAGTCCTTCTTCTGCGCCTGCATTTCCGCCTACGCCTCTGTCTTTGCGGTGCAGACGGCCGACCAGATGCTCACGCAATTTGTCAGCCTTCTTTCAAGCACCTGGCAGTTTGCAGGCCGGTTGTCTCCAATGCGGTTGCAATCTTCAGGGGGTGCGACTGTGGGGCAGGAAGTTTGGAGAAACAAATCTTTGAAGCTACTACAGTATACTGGGGCCTTCCCCAAATTGGAGTACGTGTTTTTTGGACTCAGCAGTTTCCCTTACAGAGCGTAAGTGAATGAGCGGCGAGAACCAAGACATTGCGTTAATGAAGTTGAGCATATCAGACTCACCCCTGGCCACTGGAGTCAAATGCGGTCAGTGGTCACATTGCCATTTGGGGGACCCTCCTAAGCATGCTACGGCCGCTGGGTCACTCTCATGGAGACTGAACTTCGCGAGCATGAGGGCCGGGTGTGTTCAACATTCGGGGGATGCTTGGCGCCTGAGTTTTTTGAGGGGGCAACACGTGGATGTCGAGGGATAAGTTGGGTTATGTGTGTGTGTGTTGTACGTACTTGTTATGTATGCATATATAAACAAATAGGGGTATGTCTAGGAGGGGGTACGGAGATGTATAGGGGCGTAGCAGGGGTATGTGATGATGCCTGCGTTTAATTAATAAAGCCCAAACCCCGAAGCCCTAAGCCCTAAACCCTAAACCCTAAACCCTAAGCCCTAAGCCCTAAACCCTACACCCTACACCCTAAACCCTAAACCCTAAACCCTAAACCCTAAGCTGCGATGTGTCAGCAGGCTATGCCGTTCAAATCTGCGATATGGACTTCAAGCTCGACGAAGCAGTTGACGAGCCGCAGCCTCCGGAGGCAGGTTGGGTTTAGGGTTTAGGGCTTAGGGCTTAGGGCTTAGGGTTCAGGGTTTAGGGTTTAGGGTTTAGGCTTTAGGGTTTAGGGTTTAGGGTTTAGGGTTTAGGGCGTGAGCAGCATCAGAACGCACTACCAGGTGTGTAGAATCAACGTTATTCCCGTGTGTGAGTCGAAGCCGCTCTCAATTTTAGAGTCACAATAACATGCACCCCAGACCTTATTCTAGCTAGACGGGACCGACATCACCTTTTGTGCATTTTCACCCTAAACGCTAACCCCTAAGCCCTAAGCCCTAAACCCTGAACCCTAAACCCTAAACCCTAAACCCTAAGCCCAGTTTGTCAGGTAGCCGCCGCGCAGCAGCCGGATGTCCTGGGAGCTCCCATGGACTGCAACAGCAGCTCAGAGGCTCTGAAGGTTTAGGGTTTAGGGTTTAGGGTTTAGGGTTTAGGGTTTAGGGGTTTAGGGGTCTAGGGGTTTAGGGGTTTAGGGGTTTAAGTGCCGGTCTTCGGCTCTCGGTTTCTTCGGGGGTTTAGTTTTTTTTTGGTGGCTTTTCGTTCGGGCCCTTTTTTTGAGGGTTTTTTAGGGCCTATGGGGTTAAGGTTTCGGGGTTCAGGGGTTACTTGTTTAGGACCGCGCTTGAAAGCCTGGAAGAAAATGTGGCAATTGAAGATTGGCTCGGCTTCGGCCCAATCGGGAGATCTTGAAGACTTCCAGTTCAAATCAAATTTTACAGCAGACACAGAGTTCCATCTGTAGTTTATGGGGTTCTGAAGGGAGGGGGTTCAAGGGGGGTAGGTACCTAGGGAAGCTTAGGGAAGCTTAGGGAGCCTTTGGGAGTACTAGGGAGTATTAGGGAACCTTGACTTACATACCCCCCTTGAACCCCCCCTCCCTTAAGAACCCTACAAGTAGTACGATTATGGAATTAGGTAGTTCAAAACCCCACACAGTATGGTTTTTGGGTACCTAATTCCATAGTAGTGGGCTCTCTGGACCAGATGTCATCAGGCTTGGAGGGTCTCCGGAGCAGTCTCGGGGTCAATTGCGGCAGAGAGGATCAGGAGATCTGTGGAGTCATGATGAATTGGGGGTTTACGAAAATAGGAGACCCCTGAAAATAGACCCTAAATAGTAGGATTCTCTTGTAGTAAGGACCCCGAAAAGGTACCCCCTAATTTCGGAATTCGGCTCGCTGCGTAGTTCCCTTTTGCAGGCCTCTGGCACGGCCACTACAGCAACCACGCAGCCGAATGTCATGGGCAACCTTGTTCCCGCATGGGGCCCTGGACACGTGCCAGAAGTGGTCCAGAAGCCAGAAGAAATAGCCATCGAGGTGAAACTCAACGACGAACCCATGCCTTCGCTACCCCCTATGCCAGCCTGGGGAGCGGAAGGGGCACCGGGCTCAGCTCCAAGGAAATCAAGTTCTGCAGCCCGATGCCTGGCTATTTCAAGGCTGAAGGGTAAGTAGTAGCTAGGGTATGCTTCCCTATACGTGCAAGCATAGGATGATGGTGTTGAAGAGACTGTTGAAGCTTCTGCGGTGTAAGCCAAGAACATCCAAGGAAAAGGGAGGGCGAGCAATGCTCGCTTGCAGCGAAAGAAGACGCAGACCTCCGGGAAAACTGGATCTTCGAAGCTTCCTGAATCCTGAAGGCCGACGGTCGCCGCAATCACCTCTGCTAGAACACTAAACTCAACACTTCTCTTGTCTGCCTTTTACCCAATCTACGGAAGCTTGGCTAGGAGGCCAGACTATGCTCTACAGTCTCTGCTTTGTCTTTGTTCCAACGCACATCAAGAGCTTCAGGAAGCTGAGGGACGTCCAGGTGGGCCAAGAGTGAACATGCTCTTGACTTCCCACACCCTGAGCCACTCAGTTGGGGGAGGGGGGGTTCTATACAATTAGGCAGAGTTTCTGGTCCGGGAAGCAAAAAAGGCTTGCATTCCACCTCTCCACATTCCAAGGTTCAGGTTACCCGGCTGGAGTTTGCGGGGTGGGGGCGGGGGGGCGGGGGTTGCGAGCCCCGACGAAAATCCTAAACCCTAAGCTTTTTGTTCAGAGTTCAGAGCCTACTGGGGGACCTCTTCCGGTGCCTCCGAGGGCCTTTCTTGTTGGCCTTTTTTAGAGTTTTTTAGGGGTACCCTATTGGTGTCCTCATTATACGGGGATCCTACTATTTTGGGGTCTATATGAAGGGGTCCCGTATTTTTTTTTAGCTCATTTTCGTAAACCCGCATTTGTGCCTCCGAGCGGCCCTTTCTTGGTGATCCGTTTTGGGAGCTGCCCGGTGTGATCTTTTCAGGGCAAGAGTGGGGCTGGGCCCCTAAACCCTAAACCCTATAAAGCCTATAAACCTTATAAGCTCTATAAACCCTATAAACCCTGTAAACCCTATAAACCCTATAAACCCTATAAACCCTATAAACCCTATAAACCCTATAAACCCTATAAACCCTATAAACCCTATAAACCCTTTAAACCCTATAAACCCTATAAACCCTATAAACCCTATAAACCCTAGAAACCCTATAAACCCTATAAACCCTATAAACCCTAAACCCTGGCGCCTCTGAAGTCTGCGCATGCGCAAGGGGGCCAAGCCTTCCAGGGCCCTAAGCCCTACGTACTTCAAAGTTGCCATAGGGCTTAGGGTTTAGGGTTTAGGGTTTAGGGTTTAGGGTTTAGGGTTTAGGGTTTAGGGTTTAGGGTTTAGGGTTTAGGGTTAGCCCTGCACCCAGCAACTCTGAACCCTGAAGAGGGCCTAAGGCTCAGATGCGCATCTAGGGATCACAGAAAAACCCCGCATGGATATCCCTAGGCAGCGTAGGCTCGGTCGAGTGTTTAGGGCTTCGGCACTTCTAGGAGAGAGAGGCCGAAACCTTACCTAAACCCTAAACCCTAAACCCTAAACCCTAAACCCTAAACCCTAAACCCTAAGCCATAAGCCCTAAGCCCTAAGCCCTAAGCCCAAAGCATCCCGAAGCCCTCTCTGGGGCTTCCGGGTTCGATGGTGGAGCTTCCCATGGCTGATGACCCCATGGCAGGCCCGCCTTCTGTTAGGGCAGAGCTCCCTATGGAGGGCTTTTAGGGGGTTTAGGGTTTAGGGTTTAGGGTTTAGGGTTTAGGGTTTAGGGTTTAGGGTTAAGGGGGAGTAGGGGGAGTAGGGTCCAAGGGGTTTAGGAGACTTCAGGGGCCTAGTGAAGGGGGTTTCGGGTTTAATGAGGGTTTAGGGTTCAGGGTTTAGGGTTTAGGGTTTAGGGTTTAGGGTTTAGGGGGTTTAGGGACACTCCCCAAACCCTAAAGGCTGAAGGACATCAGGGTTAGATGGTTTCTGGGAGCCAAGCCGCAATCATGGCGGATGACTAGACCCTAGGTTAAGGCCCTAAACCGTAAACCCTAAACCCTAAACCCTAAACCCTGAACCCTAAACCCTAAACCCTAAACCCTAAACCCTAAGTAGTCTACGCCACGCTCCAGGGGCCGAAGCGCTATACTTAATGACCCTCATGCAAAGCCCTGAGAAGCCATGAAAGCAGCAACGTTCAGGGTTTAGGGTTTAGGGTTTAGGGTTCAGGATTTAGGGCTTAGAAGGGTGGAGGAGGGTTTGTAAGGATTTCGTAAGGCTTCTAAGGGTTAAGAATGGTTCATATTTGTAGGGGGTTTAGCAGGGTTTAATCACAGAGTCCCCTCACCCCCCCCCCCCCCCCCCCCCCAAGGAGGTAGGCCCTGTAGAGGATTTAGGGCCTAGGGCGTTTCGGGGCACTTCGGGGCTTACTGGGGCAGTTGAGAGATGAAGGACCTTAAAGCCCCAAAACGCCCACCCTTACCCTAAACCCTGAAACCCTAAACCCTCAACCCTAAACCCTAAACCCCAAACCCCAAAACCCTTACTTACCCGACTTAAGGGCCCAGGACCACTAAATTAGAGCTGTTCATCTGTCTTGTGGCTCAGAGACGCTACTATTTAGCATCTTGGGCCCCCTTAGGCTTAGGGACTTCAGGGTTTAGGGTTTAGGGTTTAGGGTTTAGGGTTTAGGGTTTACCAGAGCCAGAGCCCCAAAACGAAGTCGGTGGAGCCTCCCACGGTTGAGGACCCAGACGAACCGGCGAAGGCCTGTCTTCTGTGCGAGCTGGTCTTAAGGTTTAGTAGTTAGTGTTTTCGGTTTGTTCTGGGTGTTGTGAGGTTAAGGGCTTCAAAGCTTCATTTTTTTTCAGGGCTATATAGGGGCTTTCTAAGTTTAGGGTCGCAGGGCTTCTTTGAGGCTTTTGTGTCAATGACTTCCCCTAATCAAGGCCTGGAGCTAGTGAGCGGAGGCTTAATCAACCGTGTGAATTGGTTTTCTGGAATGATCTCGCCACTCCTCCTGGGGTTTAGGGCTCAGGGTCTATGGGAACCCCAAACCCTAAACCCTAAACCCTAAACCCTAAACCCTAAACCCTAAACCCTAAACCCTAAACCCTAAACCCTAACCGTAAACCAATTTGGATGCAGGGCCTCAGAGGCCTGTTGGCCAAAAAAACATGCACATGTCGGGCCTCGCGGCACGGGGCTGGCCCAGTCGAAAGGGTTTGGTTTAGGGTTTAGGGTTTAGGGTTCAGGGTTTAGGGTTTAGGGTTTAGGGTTTAGGGTTTAGGGTTTAGGGTCGAGGGTTGAGGGTTTAGGGCTTAGGTTTTAGGGCTTAGGGATCCCCACGAGAAATGCTGAACAGATGCAGCCCAGGGACCATTATGCCCCCAGTAGCGAAAGCCCAATGATGCATGTGATGCGGCGAGGGCCCTCCCTTTGCACTTACCGGAATTGCAGATCTAGAGATAGGGTTTAGGGTTTAGGGGGTTTCGGGTGCAGATTTAGAGAGCCTATAGGAGCTGTTTATTCGCCAGGGGTGTACGTCGCCGCTTTGCTTCAGGGCTGCGGTTTAGATGGAAGGTCGTTGCACCGGCTGATGAGCCCTGGGCGCGAAACCCGAAACCCTGAGCACCCTCAAACCCTGGAAACCCTGGAAACCCTAAACCCTAAACCCTAAACCCTAAACCCTAAACCCCAGGTGTGTAGCGTCGAGAGCAGGAAGAAGCTGCCATGGCCAAGGCCATGGAGGAGGATGCTACCTTCGCTGCAGGCGTCCTCAAGAGATGCTTCGGCCGCGGCGGCGACTTCACCGTGGTCGTTGACGAGCGGGAAGGCGGGGGTTTTGGGGTTTTGGGTTTAGGGTTAGGGGTTTTGGGGTTTAGGGGTTTAGGGTTTGGGGTTTAGGGTTTAGGGCTTAGGGTTAGGGCTATGAGACCCTATGACCCCTTAAAAAAGGCCCTTTGTAGAGGTTGATTATAGGGCTTATAAGGCCTCCTAGCCCATCCTTGAAGGCAGGGAAGGCGATAGCTGCGGGTCAGAAGTCAAGCGAGTGGAGTTCAAAGTCTGGTCTACCCTGCTGCTTAGTAAGTGAATGAGTACACTTTACACTTTTCGGGGTATTATAACCCCCCTATCGAACTGAAAGTGTATTCTTTTTTGGGAGGGGCTTTTGAACTCAGCAACTCAGGCTAACACAGTGGTCCGCGGTCTTTGACAAGATGATCCACTCCGATGGGTTTTTGGAGGGCCAGACGGCTCAGGTGGTCATTGCGGACTTCTCCAGTGAGGCTGTGGAGATCTTCCTTCGGTTTCTCTACTCCGGGGTGGTGGAGGGCCCTCTTGAAACCATAGTGGAGGTTTGCTCGCTGGCGGACAAGTACCAGGTGGAAAGACTCCAGGAGCTTTGCACGCAGGCTTTCAGGAAAGGCCCTAAACCCTAAACCCTAAACCCTAAACCCTAAACCCTAAACCCTAAACCCTACACCCACCGGAGAATGCCTGCCAACTCTTCACCTCTGCCGCTCGCTTCCAGCTTGCGGATTTGCGTCGGAGGGCGCTGGAGGCGATCTGGATCGATGCCGAAGACGCGCTGAAAGAATGCCCGAGCATAAGCCGTCATAAGCCCTGAACTCCTCGAAGAGATCCTCGCGCCCGGCCTGATTTGCATCGATAATGCTAGTCTTAGGGAAATCTTGCAGGGTTGGAGCTCCGGCAAGAAACGCAAGGCCGGCGAGGAAGCGATGTTGCCTTCGCCATTGCAGCCGGTCATCGAGAGGCACTTGGACCGCACGAAGGATGCGGCCGCGCGCATGTTGGATGCTTATAGCGTTCAGCGTCCAGACGATGAATGTTGTGCCTGTTACAGTGAGGATCTCTTCAAGTCGCTCTGGGAAAGGTGCAGCGAATCACCTGCGGAACCATTCTTGGGATATTATGTGAACGTAGTGTTCGGACGGCAGTGCTTTGACTTTCTTGATCACAACCCTGACCCGTTGGAGCAGTATGCCAGCAATCGTAGGCCCGTCCGCATGAGGAGAAGTTCAATCACATGGATGCTCCCTTACGAGTCCGTTTATGTCACAGGCCTGTCATTCGCCTGTGACATGCCGGAACAGGTTCACTGCAAGGCTGCAAGGTTCTTTGCTCACAGGATGGTGTGAACTGGCATCTTGCCGCGGCCATAGGGAAGTCGAAGATCGCTGCAAAGACAGCGCTGCCCATGAACCAGCCCCCCCACTTGGTGACTTGGCAGCCCAGTGGTACCCTTTACCCTGTTTTGGTGCTGGGTTCTCTTAATTTAAGAGCCTCCGGCTCAAGCCGCCGACCCCGCTGGAGCATAGTTGAGAGGTCTAAACCCCCTCGCATGGTTCGAAGATCATCCCAGCCTGCTCGGCAGAGTTCTGTGAAACGTTTGGGGGCGGGCAGGCACCAGGAAGCTCAAGCCAAAAGACAGGGTGGGGGAGGGGGGGGTAGGGTGGGGGGGGGGTGGGGGTGGGGGGGGGTGGGGGGTGGGTGGGGGTGGGGGTGGGGGGGGTGGGGTGGGGGTGGGGGGGTGCCGAAAACGCTGATTTTGCTGAGGGCGCCCCTACCCCCCTGTGCTGAACCGCCTGTTTACGCTGTGCGGGTAGCGCGGTCCTCCAACACGCCGCCAGGGTCGGCGGACTTAAAGACTAACGAACCAAGAAAAGGGTACCCTTACTACAAGATGGTATCTGGGCTACCAAGGTGAAGTGGTTCAAGCTGGAAGTTCTGGAAGGCGACGACTTCCACAACAGCTTGTGCATTCAAGGTATCGGCAAAGATGATCTTTGGTATTGACCACTTAAGGGTTCAGGGTACTTCGTAGCCCGTTGTACGTGTAGTTGTAACCTATAGGATAAGCCCCTGAAGTACCCCAATGGGCTTTTCGGCTACTAAGTACCATGAACCTCCAAGTAGGATCCTACACAGGGCGCAGGCTGTGCAGGAAGGGGCAAAAAGTGGCGGATCAATCGCCTTGACTTCCTAAACCAACTTAGGAGCCTCCGGCTCAGGCCGCCGACCCAAGAGGCCCTTAACCTCTCAGCCCCCAAAGCATCTTCTTGTTGTTGTTGTTTTGGGGCGAGTGCTGTTTTTGGGGGGGGTGGGGGGGGGGGGTGGGGGGGTGGGAGGGGTGGGCGGGGGGGGGGGGGGTGGGGGGGTTTGGGGGGCGTGGTGGGGGGGGGGTGGGGGGGGGGGGGGGGGGTGCGGGGGCGGGGGTGGGGGGGGGGGTGGGGGGGGGGTGGGGGGGTGGGGGGGGGGTGGGGGCGGGGGGGGGGGGGTGGAAAAGGGGGTTTTGCCGAAAGAACCACCTATGTCGGTGAGTTTAACGCCCCCCCCCCCCCCCAACCGCGTTTTAAGGTTTTTGGGGTGTGAGGGAGGGGAGGGGGAGGGCTCCCTCCCCACAACCATCCAACACGCCGCCAGGGTCGGCGGAAGCCCCATGACCCCTTAAACACCCTTACCCCAAACCCTCAGCAAAGGGGTCCCACACACCCTTTCCCACTTTTGCGGACGTAGTTTTTGCCCCAAACCCTAAACCCTGAACCCCTGTACCGTACTTGTAACCCTACTTATAACTACCCATGAACCTCCAAGTAGCCCCAAACCCTAAAAACCCGAAACCCCCTACCTCTCCCTACCCATGAACCTCCAAGTAGTCCTCATATCGGTAGTTTCCTAAATTAGGGTCCCTTTTTGGGTCCCATTAGCAGGCGGCACGCTTTAAGAGGAGATCCCAAAAGGGACCCTAATTTAGAGCACTACCTATATGAAGACCGCATGGTCGATCCAGCCGCCTTAGATACAAGGCATCCTCGGGCCGGTCAACCCTAAACCCTAGAATCCCCAAGATCCATAAGCTCCAAAAACCCCTAGTCCGAAGCCCCAAACCCAAATCCCGAGTCCTAAACCCTAAGCCCGAAACCCCAAACCTTAAACCCCAAACCCGAAACCCTACATCCGAAACCCTAAATCCTAAACCCTAAATCCTAAACCCTAGACCCTAAACCCTAAACCCTAAACCCTAAACCCTAAACCCTGTCCTAAAACCCGGAGTCCACCCGTCTGCAGGTCTCTGAATCCTCCGGCTCCGGTGCTCGCCAGAACCCAGGGATCCAAGTGGGTTGCAAGGGTTTAGGGTTAAGGGTTTCTAGGGGTTCCAGGGTTTAGGGTTTAGGGTTTAGGGTTCAGGGGGTTTAGGTTCAGGTTTCGGGTTTCGGGTTTCGGGTTTAGGGTTTAGGGTTTAGGATTTAGGGTTCAGGGGGTTTAGGGTTAGGTTTCGGGTTTAGGGTCAGGGTATTTAGGGCTTCGCGTGTTTCCGTTGCAGTAGGTGCCTTGTATACGGTTTGTTCTCCAAGTAGGGGGGGGGGGGGGGGGGGGGGGGGGGGGGGGGGGGGGGGGGGTGATCCTGTTTACAAGGTGTCGCACTATTTAAGCACCCCAAAAAGGGAACCTAATTCAACGAACTACCCATATCCGGTTTTGCGCTACGAAAGGCTTCGACGGTTTTGGGGCCTCTGTTATAAGTTGTGAATGACACATTCCCAGAGACTCCAAAACCCCTGAATTAAGCAATATGCCTTAGATTATAATAGGAACCCTAATATTCATGCAAGGTATATTCCTGAATCAAGAGGTTTGGTGTCTCTGGGCAATCCTTATATGATTTATGGCTCCAACAAGCTGCGGATGCTTGGGGTTCGGGTTTTGGGTTTAGGGTTTAGGGTTTAGGGTTTGGGGTTTAGGGTTCTCATAGGGCTACTCGGGTTCAATCAAGGGATTCAGACTCGCACCACGAAGGATGTACCCCTACGAGGTTCCCTGATAACATACTCCGAATGTGGCCCAGATATTCCCCGACAGGGTCTTTGTAACTCTAAACCCTACACCCTAAACTTGGCCCTAAACGCTAAACCCCAAACCCCAAACCCCAAACCCCAAACCCTAAACCCTAAACCCTAAACCCTAAATACGCTCAAGGGTACAATGCGGGGCAGGGTGAGGCTCGGATGTTTTGCCGCCTTCGCGTGATCTCAAGGCAGGGCAGATCACGCAGCATGGAGACAAGAACATGTTTTGAAGAACCCCAAAAAACTGCAGAGCTCGCTAACCCCTATAAGGCTCCAAGGCCTCTGATTTAAGGGCTTCTGGGCCCAAAAAGCCTTATTAACTCATCATGTGAGGTTTTTGGGGCTATTTTGAGCCTCAGGGTAAGGCTCTTGGGCCCCGGAAACCCTAGAAATTGAGACTCCCTGGGAGGGGCAAAGGGACCGAAGTCTCCCCCAGTCGGCGATGGAGCCTGGGGCCTGTGATGCGCTGGAGCATGAGGAGCTTGGCGAGGTGATGTTGCTTCAGACCCAGCTTGAGGTGGGGTTTAGGGTTTAGGGTTTAGGGTTTAGGGTTTAGGGTTTAGGGTTTAGGGTTTAGGGTTTAGGGTTTAGGGTTTAGGGTTTAGGGTTTAGGGCTTATTTTCCCCAAAAACCCTAAACCCCAAAACCCTAGACCCTAAAAAGTACCCCCTTTCACACCCCAAATAGAACAGAATCCCCTTACAGGGATCCCAAAAAAGGCCCCCCCCTGTGCACTTTCCGAAAACCTGCCGCAGGTGCAGCACACGCCATCCAGAACAAGCCTCATACAGGAGCTTCATGTTGCTTGGTGGCTTATATGTCTTAGGGTTTAGGGCTTAGGGTTTAGGGTTTAGGGTGAGCCCCTGGTATAGGGAGTAGACGTAACATCCTTCTCTTGCAGTTTGAAGTCCCGTGTGCTTGTCGTAGGCGCCGTGCGTTGGTGGCTCGTGGGGCACCCCGGGCGTTTATTCATAGTCAGAACCACCCCCCTCCCCCCCCTTACTGGCTTCTTGTAACCATGTTCGAGGGGCTGAGAGGCTGATACTCGGGTTTCAAGCACCCTGTACCCTGAACCTCCAAGCACTGTGCAAGATGACAATTCCCCCGAGGTTGGGCCTCTTCTCATGTCGGTGGCCTCGCAGTTGCAGCATCCCATCCCCCTCTTCGCTTTGGTCGTGGGGCTGGTGGTGGTGGCTGTCATGGTCTGCGGCCTGCGAAGATGCCTTCACTCGGGGGCTGCCCCCCAGCCCCAGCGCGAGACAGGGGGCATTCGGCTAGGGATCCTCAGTAGCTGAGTGAGTACACTCTACACTTTTTGAGATATTATAATCCCCTATAGAACTGGAAGTGTACACTTTTTTGGGGCTTATGAACTCAGCAACTAAGAACCCTAAACCCTAAACCCTAAACCCTAAACCCTAAACCCTAAACCCTAAACCCTAAACCCTAAACCCTAAACCCTAAACCCTAAGCCTAAGGATCTATGGAATTCTGCTGACGCAGACCTTGAACGCCCTAGCCACCATGGTGGTCCTGCCCACTCTGCCATTCTTTGCGATGACGCTGGGCGCCTCTGCTCTTGATTCTTGGTGGCCCAGTGGTACCCTTTTCCCTTTTTTGGGGTTTAGGGTTTAGGGTTTAGGGTTTAGGGTTTAGGGTTTAGGGTTTAGGGTAACCAACCCAAAAAAGGGCGCCCTTATTCTGAGATGGTTACTGGGCTACTAAGGAGGTGTCACTCATGAACTCCGGGTACAACTTGGCTCAGATGCTCGGACCCACAGAGGCAACCCCCTCTCCTTTTTTTCGGGTCTGGGACCCTAAACCCTAAACCCTAAACCCTAAACCCTAAACCCTAAACCCTAAACCCTAAACCCTAAACCCTAAACCCTAAACCCTAAACCCTGGAGGTCCCCTTACTAAAGGTGTATACGAGGAGCACCCACCTCTTTGTCCTAGGGCATGCTGAGCACTTTCCCGGCCAAACCCTGCTACCCCCCAAAAGTCGTACAGCCCTGAACCGCGCACCGTAGATTCCTTAAACCCTAAACCCTAGACCCTAAACCCTAAACCCTAAAAACTCCCTCAGACCTTAAACCCTAAACCCGAAACTCACTCAACCCCAAAACCTAAACTCCCCAAACCCCAGACCGTAAACTCCCTAAACCCAAAAACCCTAAACCCTATGCTGGTGTTCCCCAAACCCCAAACCCCACACCCCAAACCCTAAACCCTAAACCCTAAACCCTAAACCCTGAACCCTGAACCCTGAACCCTGAACCCTGAACCCTGAACCCTGAACCCTAAACCCTAAACCCTAAACAAACCTAAGGATGTTCTGCTCCCCCCTCTTGGGCGCAATGTCTGACCGCTACGGGCGCAAGCGCGTCATGCTCGGAGGCATCTGTATCCAAATGGTGCCTCGGAAGAGTGTTTAGGGTTTAGGGTTTAGGGTTTAGGGTTTAGGGTTTAGGGTTTAGGGTTTTGGATCTCCTTGGGCATGTGCAGACTTCAGAGGTGCCAGTAGGGTCTAAGCTTTCGGGTTTCAGAGCTAAGTAGGTTTTTGGGATACTTCATGTTTTCCCTTTTTTGGGGGTCTTAAGAGGATCATGTCTAGGAGTATTGTTCAGAGCATTTTAAGCGCCATCCACGTTGATCTTTCTAGCTTCAGGGCTTTGTGGTTTTAGGGCATCCAAAAGGTGGCTGGGAACCCCCACTGGTGCTGTTCGTTTCTTGTTTTTGGAGTGTGTCTGTGTGTACCTTCTGTTTTCCTGTTTAGGGTTTAGGGTTTAGGAAAGCCGCCCGGATACCCTAAACCCCAAACCCCAAACCCCAAACCCTAAGCCCTCGACCCTAAACGACCAAACCCCAAACCCTCACTCAACCCTAGCCCTAAACCCTAGCCCCAAACCCTAGCCCTAAACCCTAAACCCTAAAGCACAGGTGTGCAACACCTTCATGGCGCAGTCGCACAGCCTCACGCAGCTCTTGCTTGCACGCACGGCCGTGGGCATGGCGTGAATTCGGCTGCAGTTTAGGGGTTTAGGGGGTTGAGGGCTTAAGGGTTTTAGGGTTTAGGGTTTAGGGTTTAGGGGGTTTAGGGGGTTTGGGGGGTTTAGGGGGTTTAAGGTTTAGGGTTGTGAGAGTTCTTGAACAAACTCCCCAACAAACGTGTTTAGGGTTTAGGGCTCAGGGTTTATTGAGGGGTAATTCGGGGCTTATTAGGTTTGATTAGGGCTTATTGGGGCTGATTAGGGCTTATCGGGGTTTATGTGGGTTTATTGGGGCTTATCAGGGTTTATTGGGGCTTCTTAGGGCTTATTCGGGTTTGTTAGGGTTCATTCGGGTTCAGGGTTGTTGTCGTAGGCTCTTGATGCCAAAGTCCCTTATAAGATGCTTAGGCTGTGGGCTACACCCACATCCTCAAACCCTAGACCCCCTCCATTTTCTAAAGCAAAATCTAGAAACCCTGTATGACATATGTGTACATATATATATACACACACGCCCACACCCCTTTTTTCTGCTTTCCCATAAAAACCCGAAACCCTAGGAGCACACTAAGCCGCCTGAACCCCAAACCCCTAGGCTAAGCCCTAAACCCCTAAACCCCCTAAACCCCTGAACCCCTAAGCCCCTACACCCCTAAACCCCTAAACCCCTAAACCCCTAAACCCCTAAACCCCTAAACCCCTAAACCCCTAAACCCCTAAACCCCTAACCCCTAACCCCCTAAACCCCTAAACCCCTAAACCCTAACCCCTAACCCCCTAAACCCCCTAAACCCCTAAAACCCCTAAACCCCTAAACCCCTAGGCTAAGCACGGGGCCGGTCGAGATGGCTTACATCATGGACTTCCTGCGCTCTGAAGAGGACCTCTGGGCCCCGCTTTTTCATTCGGGGGTTGTGGGGTTTAGGATTTAGGGTTTAGGGTTTAGGGTTTAGGGTTTAGGGCGGGGGGGTGGGGGGCTGGGGTGTTTAGGGTGGACCCTGAACACTTCAGACTTTCGCTTGATCCGAAACCCACCCAAGACCCTTAAAACCCCGAACTCCGACAAAGACCTACAGCCCTAAGCCCTAAACCCTAAACCCTAAACCCCAAATCACTAGGCAACCCCAAAACATCAAGCCCGGGTTGCTGATTGGGGTTCAGGGTGCAGGGTTTAGGGTTTAGGGTTTAGGGTGCAGGGTTTAGGGTTTAGGGTTTAGGGTTTAGGGTTTAGGGTTTAGGGTTTAGGGTTTAGGGTTTAGGGTTTAGGGTATGGGCTTAGAATGAAGGAGCTCAGCCGAGTCCTATCCCTCCAGCGAGTCACTTGGTAGGGCACGTGTGCGAGAGCTTTGTTCGTTTCCCACGTTGGGGGTTCAGGGTTCAGGGTTCAGGGTTTAGGGTTTAGGGTTTAGGGTTCAGGATTTAGGGTTGAGGGTTTAGGGTGCATATCCCTCGTTGGGGTCTTAGAGGTTAGGGTTCCTTTCCCTCGTTGGGGTTTAGGGCTTAGGCCCTTGGTAGGGTTTAGGGTTTAGGGTTTAGGGTTTAGGGTTTAGGGTTTAGGGTTTAGGGTTTAGGGTTTAGGGTTTAGGGTTTAGGGTTTAGGGTTTAGGGTGCATGTTTGTAGTTCTCTATATTAGGGTCCCTTTTTGGGATCCCTTTTTGAACGGGTGCCGCCTCATAATCTGGTAATGGGTGTACCCAAAAAGGACCCTAGTTTAAAAAACCACCCATGTCCTTAGGGTTTTTTTTGGTCGTGTTTCAGGAGCATAAAATTGTTAATTCCTAAGCCTCAACCCCCAAAACCCTCGAGATCTTCAAAAGGTCCAATAGAACTCCTCGCCCATTCCCAAATTCCTAGCCCTGAAACCCTGAACCCTCCAAACCCGACAACCCCAAATCCCCAAAGCTCAAAAAGCTTAAAACCGTAAACCTCAAAACCCGAAAACCCAAAACCCTAACCCCAAAACCCTAAATCCGAAAAGACCTAAAAAAACCCAAACAAAGGCCCAAACCCTAAACCCCACAACCGCACGTCCGAGGAAGATGTGCCCTAAACCCTAAACCCCAAACCCTAAAACTCCAGGTCATGACCAGCGCCGGTGCTTTGGCGGGGCCTCTGGTGGCGCGGACCTTTGACAAGCTCCACTTCCAGACGCTTTGCCTAGGCGAGGGTTTGGGGGGTTTAGGGTTTAGGGTTTAGGGTTCAGGGTTTAGGGTTTAGGGCTTGGGGGCCCTGTAAGAAACCCCTACGCCAGGCGTGGTGGGCGTCAACGTGCTGAACTTGCTGATCGGCGCGGTGCTGTGGGAGGACCCTCCTTTTATTGTTTCTGTTTTTTTTTCCCCTTTGTCAGCTTTTTCGACAGAGTTGTGCGTTTTGACCGAAACTGTTCTTGTTTGCAAATTCGGTTCACCCTTTTTGGGGCCGGGGAGAGGAGGGGAGAGGTCTGTGGTGGCGGAACCCTGAACTATCTCTGAACAACAAATCCCCCATGCTCACAGGAAACTACGGTGTGCCCTAAACCCCCAGTACTGCCAAATACCCTAACCCCGAAAACCCCTAAACCCCAAAGCCCCTAACCCCCGAAACCCCAAGACCTCAAAGCCCCAAAACCCCCAGACCACCTAAACCCTAAACCCTAAACCCTAAACCCTAAATCCTAAACCCTAAACCCTAAACCCTAAACCCGAACACCCCGGTGGCTGTGGGAGGATGCAGCCAAGCCAGAGGGCAGGGACAGGAAGAAGCCAATCCAGGTGCTGAGTGCTGAACATGGGCTTTCACTTAGGGTTTTGTGTGGTTTTGGGCTTTAGGGATTAGGGTTGAGGGTTTGGGGTTTAGGATTTAGGATTTAGGGTTTAGGGTTTCGGTTTTGGGGTTTGGATGTTGTCACCGGGAACCGCCTAGGTGGAGCAAGACGAGAGCATGGAGGAGGCGCCAGACAAGTCCATTGGCGACTTGGTAGCCCAGTGGTACCCCTTACCTTCTTTTTTTGGGGTTACGGCTTCCCTTATTTAGAAAAATCCCTAAACCCTAAACCCTAAACCCTAAACCCTAAACCCTAAACCCAAAAAGGGTGCCCTTATGATCATATGGTTACTGGGCGACCACAAGGAGAGCAGCTGTCCGCCATGTTCGCCAACCAAGCTGCTTGTGGCCTGCTTCTCGGCGCTGCCAAAAACTAACCCCAACACATCCTGAACCCCTTAAAGCCCTAAACCCTAAACTTAACCCTAAAGACTAAACCCTAAATCCTAACCCCTAAACCCTAACACCCTTCTCCCTAAACCCAGAACCCTAAGCCCTAAACTTCCTAAACCCTAAACCCTAAAGTTCCAAGCTTGAATCCTAAACCCTAAAATGCCAAGGCAAGGTCTCACAGCTCAAGGCTCACCATAGCCCCAGTTTGTTTAAGCCTTAGGATTTAGGTTTTAGGTTACTTTTCTGTACGTAGATACGCCTTATGCTAAAGGTTTGGGATTTTGGTATTTGAGGGGTTTGGGGGGGGGTAACGCTAGGCCCGCTAGGCCATAAATTCTGAACACGATCCAAACTTCGCAAACGTATAAACGTCCCTGAGCTAAAACCCTAAACCCTAAACCCCCTCCAGGCTGCTGGTGTCCTTTGTCTACGCGTTGGGCTTCGCCATCGGCGATGGACCGGAGATGGTGTTTTTCAAGGTCTGGCGCGCTACATGAGACTTCCCCAAACCCTAAACCCTAAGCCCTAAACCCTAAACCCTAAACCCTAAACCCTAAACCCTAAACCCTAAACCCTAAACCCTAAACCCTAAACCCTAAACCCTAAACCCTAAACCCTAAACCCTAAGCTAGGTTGCCTGTTTGGTAAAGGCTTCCCTTCTACAAGACTCTTATCCCATGGTCCATCCCTTGAAAAGGACCTTTCGAACTCCCCACCTCCTCCCCCCCCCCCCCCATCGCATGCACTTGCATGGCATCTTTAACAATGCCCGAAACCCTAAAGCCTAAAGCCTAAACCCTAAACCCTTATTCCTAAACCCTAAACCCTAAACCCTAAGCCCTAAGCCCTAAACCCCAATTCTACCAAGGTTAGGATGGTTTATTGTGGGCTTAGGGACGAGTGTTTAGGGCCTAGGGTCCTTAGGGTTCCTAAACCCCCAAACTCTAAAGAGCCACAGCCCTAAAACCCTGCATCCGTTGTAGAGGCGACTTGCTGGTTTAGGTTTAGGGTTTAGGGTTTAGGGTTTAGGGTTTAGGGTTTCAGGTGGCTGACGTGGCGGTCATGACCACCAACGGTTTAGGGTTTAGGGTTTAGGTTTAGGGTTGAGGTTCAGGGTTTAGGGTTTAGGGTTTAGGGTTTAGGGTTTAGGGTTTAGGTTTAGGATTTAGGCTTTAGGGTTTAGGGTTTAGGGTGTCTGAGCCTAACAGAAGCCCAAGACCCTCTGCAGCCTTATGCTTAAAACCCTGTGAAACCTTGAACTTATTCACCCAAGGAGATCTCCAACTTAAACCCTACAGAAACCCTAAACCTTCTGAAGCCTTAAACTAAACTCCTACACCCCTAACCCCATGAAGATCCTAATGTTCATGAGTTCCCTACTACCCCCTCTATACTCCCCCCCCCACCCTAGCTCCCCCCATACTTAAGGATATTTAGGGACAAGCAAGCCTAATTAAGGTCATTTAAGGGGGGAACCTTGGGGTACCCATGATAAAGCCCGCAACCCTAAACCCTAAACCCCAAAACGCCCCTAAAATCCCAACCAGCTGGAGGGGGGTAGTAAGGGAACCCCTGAAATGTCGGGCCAGGAGCGTTTCGGCTTCGGCAAGGAACAGGCCTGCATGTTCTACCTGCTGACCAATGTGTCCACTTTGGCGTCTAGGCATGATCCGGGCGGGGGGAGGGTGCTATAAACCCGAAACCCTATAAGCCCTAAACCCTAGCACTAAACCCTACACCCGAAGCCCTAAACCCTAAACCCTAGCTAGACCCTAAACCCTAAACCCACACCCTACACCCCAGGCCCTGCACCCTATACTTTGCAGGGTTTTAGGTGGCTAGATCTGGGTGGGCCGAGGGTCTTGTAGTGAAAACCAGGCCTCCTCTACCCTATAAACCCTAAACCCTAAACCCTTTTCAAGGGTCACCTGGGGGATATGTGGAACCTCATGCCCCAAATTCCTGCTACAAACTAGTATGGGTGGTTGAGGGTTCTTTGCTTGGGTGTTCATCCCAGGGCCGCAACTGCCGTTTGAAAACCCTAAATCCGAAACCCTAACCCGAAGCCCTGAAACCTAAACCCTAAATCCTAAACCCTAAAGACGGAGCTGCGAAGCCGCACATCATGTTCTTGGGGTGTATAGGCTCTAAGTAGTGCCTATTGGGTTTAGGCTGCGTATTGTGGCAGATTCTTGTCAATTAGTAGGCCAGCTTTTACTTCGGGAACCTGCCACTTTGTTGCGTTGGGGTTTTGGCTATAAGAACCTAACCCCTAAACGAGGATTTTCGAAACATGCCCCCCCCAATTGTAGGATTCCCTTAGAATAAGGACCCCAATAAGGTACCCCGAATATCCCTAAACCCTAAACCCTAAACCCTAAACCCTAAACCCTAAAAGTCCCTGCAGCTCAGGTGTGTTCGGCCTGGGTGCCAGCCTTGCTAACCAACTTCGGTGCTCTGACGCTGTGCATTGCAGGTGCTCCGTCGGAAAGGGTTTAGGGTTTAGGGTTTAGGGTTTAGGGTTTGGGGTTTGGGGTTTGGGGTTTGGGGTTTGGGGTTTGGGGTTTGGGGTTTGGGGTTTGGGGTTTATACCCTAAACCCTACAAGCTCTAAACCCGTTTTCTGGTAACAAAGCTTCTGGGGTCTCGGGCTTGTGCTTACCAGAAGCCCCTACCCATCTGCTATGACTGAAGTGTCTACTAAGGGCCCAAGCAAGGCTCATGGTAGCTCAAACGGCTGTTTTTTTTTTAATTTTTACGGGGCTTTGACCCCGTAGAAGGGCAGTCTGGGGTGTAGAGTAGAAGAGATTTCGGGTTCAGGGTTTGGGGTCTAGGGATTAGGGTTTAGGGCGACTTTGCTAACCTCCCCCCCCCCGGCTTTCAGACCCCAAGAATAAAAATCATCCAACAACCACTGAACGCTGAACCTGAATCCGAAGGCAACCCCCTCAAAAGCCTCTCAGGCCACTGAACGCTAAGCCCCAAACCACAAAAGCAAACCCAAACCCCAAACACACCCAAACCCGAAACCCTCCAATCTCAAAAAGCCCCCAGCAACCCTAAACCCCAAAAGCCTGAAGCCCCCCCCCCCCCCCCCCCCAACAAAAAAGCATACCAAACCCCCCAAAGTGACCTCAACACGTAAAACCTTTAAGCACGTACAAAAACCCTAAACCGCACAAAGCCTAAACACCTCCCCCGCCCCTCCGCCCCGCCTCCCCCCCAACAACAAATGAAGTCCTAAATTCCAACAACCCAAAAACCCTAAGGCTCAAAACCCAACAACACAAATACTAACCCCAACACTCCCAAAAAAACCTAAACCCTCAACCTCAAAATCCCAAATACACCTTAACCCTGAGGCTCAAAATAGCCCAAAAACCTCATGTAATAAAATGCCTTTGGACCTACAAACCCTGAAATCAGAGTTCTAGTGTGAACCTTAAGCCCTAAACCCTAGCCGCCCTAGCCCTAAACCCTGAACCCTAAACCCTGAGGCACCCTGGGGGGCTCCGTCTGCTCGCTGCTGCTGGTCTTTGGGCCAACTGCCGCCTGGGTGCCGTACCTTGGCAGGGTTTCGGGGGTTACCTGGGGGGGGGGGGGGGGGGGGGGGGATTTTCGGGGCTTCCGGGTGTAGAGTTAAAGAGTTCAGGGTTTGAGGGTTTAGGGTTTAGAGCGCCGGGGATTTAAGGTGCCGGGTTCAGAGTTTATGGTTTTAGAGTTCAGAACCTTGTTAGCGCGTTATGACGTTTTAGGGGTTGAAGTTAAGGGTGATATGTTATTTATAGATTATGAAGACCACCACCCACACCACCCATACCCGAGCTAAGCCTGAAAATCACACGATCCCCTCTCCTCACTCACCACCTCAAACCCTCGACCCTCCGACCCTCCGACCCTCAACCCTAAACCCCCCAAACCCGCAAGCAAGCTCTCTCTCTCTCTCTCTCTCCGACTCTCTCTCAGAATCCCTGAACCCTAAATCCTAAACCCAAAACCCAATAAACCTAGGCTCTAAAGCCTAAACCCTACACCCTACACCCTAAACCCTAGGATTTTCAGCCCAGCCGAGGTACACTTTTGGCATCTCCATGGTGGGCCTCTTCGGAACCATGCCGCTCGGATTTCCTGCGTTGGGTGTAGGGTTTAGGGTTTAGGGTTTGGGGTTTCGGGTTTAGTGTTTGGGGTTTAGGGTTTAGGGTGTAGGGTTCAGGGTTTAGGGTTTAGGGTTTAGGGTTTAGGGGGAAGATGCGTTATCCTTGTACTGACCCTCGCATTTTTTCTCCTCTTCAACTAAGTAACATGCTTTGGGGTCCAAAAATAAGAATGAACTCCGATCAATGGAGTACCGCTATTCTGGAGGTCCAAAAATATGTTTGCACTTGGGGGGTGTACAGGGAATGCCAGTATTTTCAGAAACGCTCATATGGGAGAGTCCAACAAAGAGTGCCCTCCGTCATACCCTCATCCGAAGCCTTAGCGGCCCTAAGGCCCGTCACGCCAAAACACCCCACCCCAGAAATCCGACATCCCGTCGGCTTAGGTTTCCTCTAAATCCTAAGCCCTAAACCCTAAACCCCAAACCCCAAACCCTAAACCCTAAACCCTAAATGCCAAAGCCCAATCTTGGCTTAGGTTCAGGGCTCATAGGGCCCCTTTAGAAGATGCAAGGATTGGCATGGGCTTCATGCACCTGGTTCGAGAGCCTCTGCTGCTGATGCTTTTTGAGAGGGTTTAGGGTTTAGGGTTTAGGGTTTAGGGTTTAGGGTTTAGGGTTTAAAGGGTATATAGGGTAGAGGGTTCAGAGTTCAGGGTTCATGGTTTCGTGTCCAGGGTTCCGGGTTTAGACCCTCAACCCGAAACCCTAAGCCTATAAGCCCTAAACTCTATCTGAGCCCTAAGCCCTAAGAATCTATAAAAACCCTAAAGCCCTCGAACCCCCCCCCCCCCCCAAACAAGGAACACGCCTCAATCATGTGAGAAGATCCTCCGAGCACTTTATGCAGGCTTGGCTTACTAAGGGGAGTTGGAAAGCTTTGTGTTTGCTGAGACTAAGGGTTTCAGGAGTCAGGTCCATCCCGTGCGGACTTCCCAAGCCCCATACAGGAAGCAATCTTACTTAGCATATACTAGACTTAAGGAGTTTTCCTTAATCCGGGGTGCTTTAAAAGGTGTTAGGGAGGCTGCCCCAAAACCCGAAACCTTAAACCCTAAACCCTAACCCCTAACCCCTAACCTTTAAATTCTAACCCCTACCCCCTAACCCCCAACCCCTATCCCCTAACCCCTAACTCTCACCCCAAAAGAGCAGCTCAGGAGTACTGCCCGGAGGATCTCATGGGCACCATGTTCGGCATCCAAAGCTCCCTGAACGGCGCCTTTCTTCGCCTTTAGTTGAACTTTAAACATTTAGGGTTTAGGGTTTAGGGTTTAGGGTTTAGGGTTTAGGGTTTAGGGTTTAGGGTTTAGGGTTTAGGGTTTAGGGTTTAGGGTTTAACCTTTTTTTCTCCTTGGTTATTGGAGAAGTAAGGCGCGGCGGGAGCCTTGGCGCCCCCGTTTGGCGGCTGGCTCTACCGCTTGAACATCTTCCTGCCCTTTCTGTGCAACCTTGCTTGTCCGAAAAAGGGATATTAGGGTTCAGGGTTCAGGGTTTAGGGTTTAGGGTTTAGGGTTTAGGGTTTAGGGTTTAGGGTTTAGGGTTTAGGGTTTAGGGTTAGGGTTTAGGGTTTAGTGTTTCTTCCTGCCCTTTCTGTGCACCTTGGGTTGACCCTTATAAGGGATATTCAGAAGGATACTTACACATCTTCCTGCCCTTCCTGCGCACCTTGCTTGGCCATAAGAGGGATGTAAAGAAACATATGTTTACACCTTTAGGGTTTTTGGGCTTTAGGGTTTAGAGTCTAGGGTGTAGGGTCTGATATGATCGAATTTTCATTCTAGGATGCCCAGTAGTACCCTTATTCCCTTTTTTGGGGGTTTAGGTTCCCTTATAAACCCCTTTAAGCAAAAAAGAGCACCCTTTTTAAGCCTTGGTTACTGGGCAGCCTAGCATTCCAAGGGCATGTTAGAGGCCAACGCCCCCCCACCGAGGCACGTCCGCGTCCTGCGCTCTAACTGGCTTGCTCTACGAGATCGCCCTGCCAAAGGCAGGCAAGCAGACGGTGAAAGAGACTGGGACAGATTAGAGGTTTTTTTTTTAAGGGTTTTTGGTGTTTTTTTGTTGGGGTCTTTAGGGTTTTGCAGGGTTACTAAGGTTTTTTTAGGGTTTTAGGGTTTTTAGGGTTTTTTGGGTTTGAAGGGTTTACAGAGTGCATAGATGTTTAGAGGGTTTATCGGGTTTATCGGGTCTAGGGCTTAGGTTTTTGGTACCCTTTTGCCCTTTTTTGGGGGGGCTCTGGGGGTGAGGACCAAAGCCAAACGGTTTAGGGTTTAGGGTTTAGGGTTTAGGGTTTGGGGTTTAGGGTTTAGGGTTTAGGGTTCAGGGTTTAGGGTTTAGGGTTTAGGGTAATCGGCCCCTAGAGCCGAAATGCCTCAGTGTGAGACATGTGCGAAGATTGTTACTATAGGGCCTCGGAATAGTTACGAAATAGTATTCCCTTGTTTAGGGTTTAGGGTTTAGGATTTAGGGTTTAGGGCTTCCTTATGGTTCCCTTCAACTTTTCATACTACGATAGCAACCGCCCCCAAAGCCCTGCTCTATGAATTTAGGCCCCTTAGCGTGCTTGCTGCCACATCTAGGAGACCCTAAACCCTAAACCCTAAACCCTAAACCCTAAACCCTAAACCCTAAACCCTAAACCCTAAACCCTAAACCCTAAACCCTAAACCCTTAGAGTGTTTTTGCTGCGCCACGGCTTGAGGAGACCAAGACGGAGATACAGCAGGACGAGACGGTGGTGCACCGGAAGATGCCCAAGCTGAGACGTCTTTCCACACTTGGCCGACCCATCTACCACGACAAGAGTTTCATCATTCAGGCCAGTTTTTCGGGGGGGGGGGGGGGTTTAGGCTTTAGGCTTTGGGCTTTAGGTTTAGGGTTTGGGGTTTAGCCTCCGGGGGCTTTGATTGAGTTTCAGGCCTGTACCCAGGTTGGCTGTCGGGCGATTTTGTTTTCTATTTCCCTTGTTTAGGTTTTCAACGGGGCTATTTTTTTTGAAAGGGGATAAGGGCCAACCCAGAAGATAAGGGCTGTGGCCATCTGAGTCGTGGGCCCTTAAGACCCTAAGCCACGCGGGCTCCTCGGCAACCGAAAAAGGGCGCAGACTGTAGGTCACCTCCTGCCCCACCCCCACGCATCCGCGCAAAGTCTCACCCTAAACCCTAAACCCTAAACCCTAAACCCTAAACCCTAAACCCTAAACCCTAAACCCTAAAGCCTAAAGCCTAAAGCCTAAAGCAGGGATGAGGTGCCCCCGAAGCTCCACCTCCCCTTCCCGCAGTCGACACTCTCTACGAATCCCCTGCAAAGCATTTCACCCAAAACCCTCGGGTTTAGGGTTTAGGGTTTAGGGTTTAGGGTTTAGGGTTTAGAGTTTAGGGTTTAGGGTTTAGGGTTTAGGGTTTAGGGTTCTCGGTTCTCCCCTGACATGAAAGCTTAACAGCTGAAGGCTTTCAGCAACTCCACCCACTCCCGCGCCCCCACAAAAGAAGTATGAACAACAAAGTCGAAAGTGGTATTAATCATGGTAGGGGTTCAGGGTTTCGGGTTCATAGGGTTTAGGTTCCTTCTTCGTCTACCCTCGAACTCCCGCCAAGCTTAAGAGGTTTGCGCGAACGAGCTCAGTATCGGCCTGAACCCAGAGAGCATGTGCCTGGGTCGTTGTCTTGGATCGTTATTTCGTTATATACATATGAATGATACAGAGCACATATATATATATATATACACATACGATGCAATTTATATGATGATGGAGTTGCTGTTTTTTTGGGCGGGTTCCGAACATGGAGGTAGCCTTTTACATCTGGGGGGGCGGGGGGGGGGGGGTACCCCTACATGGGAACACACCCGTTCGCCCTTCTTTCTTGGCAAGGAAGCCTATTCAGAAATACCCTAAACCCTAAACCTAAACCCTAGATTTCAAGAGGTTGCCAGCACAGCTGAGGTACTTCTACAGGCGTATGCGCGAGCGGCTTCGTGATGAGAACGTGCGCGGGGGTATGAAGCTGGGCTCTTGAGCAAAGCAACGCCTTTCCGGTTTAGGTTCTACGGCGAAACTGGCAACATAGCTAACGGAGTCCATATTCTCAGAGAGGCGCTTTAAGTTTTAAATGCAGTACAAAGAGCCCCCTAACACTAATTCTTATGTCCGGAGATCCGTGTCGGTCAGGGTCTGTTCAACAGATTTCATTTAACTCCGCCGAGGCGAACTTAGAGTTACAGGGGCCATTCTATGGGTGTGCCTTGCGCAATCCGAAGATCCAGTGGTAGAGACAGGTTGTAGCTTAGGGACCTGGTTCTGGGCAGTGTTGCTGACTTGAATGTGTAATTGTTTCGTCTTTTTCAGGAAGCACGAAAGTTGGCCTTCTAGGCTCTAGGATGCCCAGTAGTGCCCTTATTCACGTTTTTTGGGGGGTTAGGTTCCCTTATAAACCCATTTAAGCAAAAAACTGTACCCTTTTAATCCTGGGTTACTGAGCATCCTAGCCTTTAAAATTTTCAAAGACCATCTGCACCAGGAAACCAGTAGCCACCGTTGCCGGGTCTCTCGCGGACTCCATCGAGCAGGAAGACGAGCGGAAGCGCAACACCATCCGACGCATCCCGGGTAAATGCTAATTTTCTGGGTGCTTGGCGGCTCTCAAGCTGTTAAAAGGTTGGGTTTAGGGTTTGGGGTTTAGGGTTTAGGGTTTAGGGCCTTAGGCCTTAGGGGTTAGGGTTTAGGGTTTAGGGTTTAGGGCTTCGGGTTTTGGGTTTAGGGGTTAGGCTAAACGCGACCCTGAGTAACAAACCCTAAAGCCCTGAACTCTGACCCTAAGCACCCTACACCTACAAAATAGGGGTCGGAATAATTAACTCATAGTATTCCCTCAGGGTCCCCCAGAACCCTATTCTAACCATTCAGGCTGTATATCAACCCTAAAGGCTCAAGTCCTGGGCTCCAAGCGCCGTGCTCCCCCTACTTACACGCACCCGAAGTCTTGGAGCATCCTAAGACCCGGGGTTTAGGGTTTAGGGGGTTAGGGTTTGGGTTGTAGAGTAAAACTCTAGAACCTATAGCCCTCCAGAAAGAACAGCCCAGAACGACTCGGGAGCCCCCCCCCAAAAAAAAACAAAAAAAAAACACAACACACATCCACCATGTGGTCGCTTTTTCAAAATATGGCACCTTTGGGGTCGCCTGAATTTCAGGCGGCCCCAAAATTTAAGCTAAGAAGTGACCATGTAAGCCCTAAAGAACCACATAACCCCCCAAAACCTAAAACGCCCTAAACCCAAAGCCGTAGAAAGCCTCAAGTCCTAAGACCCTGCACCCCAAAATCCAGACTATACACCGCGGACTCTAGAGACCCTTAACCATATACCCTAAACCCTGAAGACCCGATATACCAAATCCAAAAAAGCTCCACCCCCAAACCTCAAACCCGAAATCCTGAAACCGTCAAACCCTCAAACCCCACCCCTAAACCCCAAACCCTAAACCCTACAAACCCTAAACCCTAAACTCCAAACCCAAAACCCAATACCCTAAACCCTATGAACCCTAAACCCCACACCTACAAACACTAAAGTGCGCCGGCTGCCCAGGTATGGGGACTGACCAGGGCTTGGGATCCGAGGGCTTGGGATCGGACACCCGGAGCTGAGACCAAAAAGGAGGGCCGGTTTAGGGATTTTAGGGTTTAGGGTTTTGGGATTTTAGGGTTTTGGGGTTTAGGGTTTTGGGGTTTAGGGTTTAGGGATTTTAGGGTTTAGGGATTTTAGGGCTTTAAGGATTTTAGAGGGTTTAGGGATTTTAGGGTTTTGGGGTTTTAGGATTTTGGGTTTGGGGCGCTTTAGGGGCTTCAAAAGGGGGCGCCGGCTTGGGGCCTCTAGGAGGTTTAGGGGATTTCGGGCTTCAGGATTTAGGGTTTAGGGTTTAGGGTTTAGGGTTCAGAGTTCAGGGGTTTTAGGGGTTTGAGGGGTTTTGGGGAGTAGGGGTTTGTGAGGTTTTAGGGGCTTTAGGGCTCAGAGTTTGGGGTTCGGGGTTTATGGATTTGGGGTTTAGGGATGCCGTTGATTCATTTGTTTATGTATTTATCTTCTGTTTGTTTTGGGGGGGGAGGGGGGGGGGTTCGGGCTTTCGGGATTTAGGGGTTTAGAGGTTTAGGTGTTTAGGCTTAGGTCCTTTGTTTTTTTGGGTTTGGGGGTTAGGGGTTTTGGGTTTGGGGTTTGGGTTTTTCGGATGTAGGGTGCGGGGGTGGGGTTTGGGGGGCTTAACGTGCGGGGTGTGGGTGTGTGGGGTTTAAGGAGTTTACGCCTTTAGTGCCTTTAGAGGGCTTTGGGGTGTTAGGGGTTTGGGATTGTGGTTTTAGGGGTTTAGGCTTTTGTGGTTTTGGGGGGTTTCGGGTTGGGCTTTTTCGGGTTTAGGGTTTTGGGATTTAGGAGTAAGCGCTGTCTGAGTCTAGTCCTTGGCTTTTAGGGTTCAGGGCAGTATACATGGCCTGGGGGCTTCGGAAGCTCTGCCAGAATGCGCGAAACCCAACAGCTAGAACCCAGAGTAAGGCCCTTTCCGGTTTAAGTTCCCTTATAAGCCCCTTCAAGCCAAAAAGAATTTTAGGGTTTAGGGTTTAGGGTTTAGGGTTTAGGGTTTAGGGGTTTAGGGTTTAGGGTTTAGGGTTTTAATCATTATGGGGACTGGCGGGACTGGCGGGTTTTGAGTCAGTAGGCTTAGATGCTTTAGGGTGGTGAGTTTAGTGTCTAGGGGTGAAGCTTTGGAGGTTGAGAGGGTGCATCGGTGTTTAGGCGTTTAGGGTTTAGCGTTTAGGGTTTTTTTTAGGGTTTAGTGGTCTAGGGTTGCTCTCTCAAGCCTAGCTCCGATCTCATTCACGCCGAGGCCGGTCAAAGGGCTGGCGACGAAGAGCCGAGCGGATGTCAGGGACGTCGATACAAGGAAAAGCAAACCCTAAACCCTAAACCCTAAACCCTAAACCCTAAACCCTAAACCCTCCACGCTGATCTCGAATAGTAGGGTCTCTAGTCTATAGGGCACACGCCCTTCGAGGTCTCCCCGGGTACTTGCTGTGTATCCAAAGTCCCAGGTGCTTCTACGGACCAAGAGCTCTAACCCTAAACCCTCACTAGGTTTGCTGTCATATTTCGGTGGCGAATTTTGGCGCCTCAGAAGTCTCCGAAGTCATAGCGGCCTGGGAGTGATACGTGCGTCTGAATACGCAGACATTACCAAATAGGCACGAAGCCCTAGCTGACCCATGTCCTACCAAACCCCAAACCCACCAAAACAGCCTAAAACTTAACTGCCTGCTAGGAGGATCATGGTACTTAGTAGCTGTACTTATAAACCCAATTATAGTCCTATTCGGGTACTTAAGGGGCTAATTCCCTGAACCTCCAAGTAACCTCCTGAGGATTTGGGGGTCTAATGCTTGCTTTCGGTTGTATGGGCCTGGAGGGCTTTAGGGGCCTTAGACACACCCACAGGTCTTTTGGAGGTGGGCTCTATGTCTGGAGGGCTTTGTGCATCGGGTCAGCCAAGCAGAAGTCGTAGGATCACTTAGCCCTATCAACCCTATAGTATGGGGGTCGGAATAATTGCTAATGGTATTCCCTCATGGTCTTGTTATATGTGTACTATACTAGCCCCCGCCCCTATATTAAACCCGAAGCCCTGAGAACCCTAAACCCTCTGCGAGACTCACAACAAGTCCTCAGCTTTGATGTACTTGTGCCCCTGTCCCATCAAGAAACTATACAGTTTAGATGTTTCTCATCAGACTCTTCGTAGTCGGGGAAAATAGACTCCTAGCGTAGACACATCTATATGCCCAAAGGAGGATCTGGACATGTACCCTGCTAAGGACACGGTTGCTCTGTCGTAAATCCTGACCTCCGGACCTTCTTCAAACCTTCCCTCCAAACCCGAAACCCTAGCCCTGAAGCCTGCAAACACCTAAACCCTAAACCCTCAAGCAAAAACATCGAGCATCACATAAACCCTCCAGCCCCTAAACCCTAAACCCTAAACCCTAAACCCTAAACCCTAAACCCTAAAGCAACAAAACATCGAGCAGCACGCCTTGCCTCGGCAATGGGCCCTTCAGCGGCGCTGCGACAAGACGCCGGCGGCCTTGGCCAGCTGGAGTGCCGGGGCATGAGGCTATTCTACCTTAAGCCCTAAACCCTAAACCCTAAACCCTATAAACCCTATAAACCCTATAAACCCTAAACCCTAAACCCTAAACCCTAAAAACCCTAAACCCTACAAAGCCGAAACCCTGAAACCCTACAAAGCCTAAACCCTAAAACCCTAAACTCTAGACTAAACCTTAAACCCCCTAAACCTTCTAGGCCCTATCATCACAAAAGCCCTGAAGCTCAAACCGCTGCTCTGGCATGGCTGGGTTGGGGTTAGGGTTTAGGGTTTAGGGTTTAGGGTTTAGGGTTTAGGGTTTAGGGTTTAGGGTTTAGGGTTTCGGGTTTAGGGTTTAGGGTCTAGGGTGTAGGGTTTAGGGTTTAGGGCTGCAGGATTCTGTGGAGTAGTGCAGGGATTCTCGGCTCACAGGCTTCCGGAGTTCAGGGTTTAGGGTTTATAGGCTTTAGGTTTTTGCGATGTGGGTGAGAATATTGTTTCGTTTGCTGTTTGATGTGAATGCAAAAATTTGGGGCTCGGATAGCTTAAGTTCAGGAACCCTCTAGACAGAGATCGTTCTGACGGCACCTACCCTCATGAGTGGTGGCTGGCAGAGACTTGTCTTGTGTGGGGGGAATGGGAGGGGAGTTCTTATTAAGCAAATCATCGTGTACGCCACGCTTGAGGGTTTAGGGTTTAGGGTTTAGGGTTTAGGGTTTAGGGTTTAGGGTTTAGGGTTTAGGGTTTAGGGTTTAGGGTTTAGGGTTCAAAGCAAGTCACTAAACGGCTTCAGCTCCAAAGGCCATGAGTTTACTTGGAGGTTCATGGTACTTAGTAACCCTTAACCCTTAACCCAAAACCCTAAAGCCTAAACCCTAAACCCTAAAC